CTGTTTATATCATTTCTCTTATTTCTGCTTTTTAGCGAAAATGTTTGCTTTTGATTGTATACAGACAGTAATTCCGTGGGAAAGGAGTTACAAAATTCCAGAAGTAAGACCTGCCTGACTAACTCCCGGCATCATTCCGACAAGACAATTTGGAGGGTAAAATGAGATTCACAGTACCGAAGGTGTATATCTGGTACCATGGGGGTCAGTGCTTGCAGCTTCGGCTTTCCGTATCAATTGAGGTTAGCAGTGTCGTGGTAGCTGTGGTTAAACTCGAACTTATGCGGGGAGAATGATTGTATTTTACTTTCATTTGGCGTGAAAGTGCGTATTCACACCGGGTGTTGTGACCCAATGATCAGCAGAGGTATTGGTAGGCCTCGCTCCGAACCAAGAGGTAAGTAATGCCAAACACATAACTAAATTGGAAATGCCAGTGGAAATTATTTGGAATTTTCAATGGGGAGTTTATCGGGGCATTATCTTGATACTCGTGTTTTAAACAACTCTGGACTCTGTACCCAGGCTTTACGGTCTGACAAAAATATTGTAAGAGGTTCCTTTCATATGTAAACCTATTTTGAAAGTATATGAGATATACTTTGATGGTGCAATATATTTAACCATCAAAATTTGTACCGCAAATATCTGTCGATAGTGCCAAGCTTAATTAGAATAGATTTCTGACTTTTTATCATATGTTACAGAAAGTTTTCATACTCCGAAGGAAACTGAGAAAGAACAATTCTTCAACAACAACAACAAAAGAGACTTTATTATTCAATATTGGAAAATAGAAAGAAGTGAAAAGTAAACAAATTGTATAAAAATAAATTCATATTTTAAAAAGGACACAACTTCACATACACACAGGCATGAAATTATGCTCGTCAGTAATTCAAAGGAAAAGTAAGCAAAACTAAAGTAAAAGATAAATAAAGGAAGAAAAGAAAGTTAAATCAATTTTTTAAGGATGAGTGTTTTGCATTATTTTGTATTATTTTGCATGTGCGAGTCCTGTGTTTGTACGGAAATCAAACTCCCAAAGGATATGTGCCAGTATATAAAAATAAATGAGCATAACAAAGAACTGCAAAAAAGGAAAGTTCCGCTTGAAAGTAGAGAAAGTAGGTTGAATGTATCCTCTATATTTCTATGTGTAGACAATACATGTCGCGTGCTTGTGTGTGCGTATCTTCGAATAGTACTTTGGTTGCGATTAGCACTTACGTAAATTAAAGACGTAAAGCATCCTTGCCAGAGGACTTGACATAGTTGAAATGACTGAGTGAAATCTTATGTCAACATATTGATTGAATAAATGCCGTCATGTTGACAAACAACTCCCGCCACTTGAAACAGGTTGATGGTTACGCCCAATGCCAACAATCATTCACAGAGCACCGCTCTGCCGGGTTCCGTGTTTGGGTTTAAATACGAACTCCATTAAATTTAAGCTAAAACCTAGACAAGTTAATCAGCAAAAATGCATAGGCAACATTTTTTCTCTTCTGAAAAGTCAGTAAATAAATAAAATCCAAGTGGGAAAGGTACTCCGACTGCTTGCCGGATAAGCAAGTACGAATTTATGGAAAATATGTTTGTGTAAAAAATGGCAAAAGGCAGGAGGCAGGAGTTTTCTGAAGCATGTATCGTATCTTGTTTCTTCTCCAATTTAGTTTAAGTGCGGGCATGTAAGAAAGGACACGTGTTTCTTTTATTAAAACAGGGAAGCAAATTGTTTGCTTTACAGCAAAAGCAAAGTAAATAATTTGTAGGCATTATTGAATTTGATGAATAATAATAAAGTAATATGGGAAATGCAAGAAAATATTTGTTTACTTGCTTTTTATTCATTTCTATTCAATTTTCTGAATCCATTTATATGGCATTATAGCAGATTATTTTTAAAATTGAAAGACGATAGAAGAAGAAATAATATTTAATTTTAAAGAGAGATTTAACTAATATAACTAATTTACAGAAATTACTAAATAAGTTATGATACTCACAGGCCATCAAAATTATCGAAGTAGAGAAATTCTAATATATGTCTTAGCAATGTACTATATGAGATTAAGATTACTAAGGCGCTCCATATCGAAGCCCATTAAAAAATCACTATGGTAACATAAGAAGTGAAAAAAAGGGATGAAATTCAGAATACTATATAATCATTAAATAACAAGGAATAAGAAACAGTATTTTGTGTATTCTTATACTATATTTAATAATGAAAATAGATATTCGAACTCGACACTAAGCTACTATCAGAAAGCCGGCCATAGAAACAATAAACCCGTCACTTTATTGCTTCACTTCTTGAATGTCTTTTGCAGTAATGGGAAGTGGAGAAATGTGTCACCTAGTAAAATTCTTCCAATAATTACCAATGATTTATAGTATTGTTGATCAAAAATATTTAAAATATTCAAAAAAAAAAAAAATGAAACGGTGAAGTTTTGAACCGATGACTGGATTTGATATATAAGTGATCACATCATAAATGTACATCATAAATAACTGAATATCACTACGGCAGAGATTTTCAATAAATTATAAGACTATGGTACAAACTTAATATTTTGAGAAAATTTTTCCACAGTCATCTCTAGCATGGAAGTGTGATTTTGTGTTTCCTTGTAATATATTCATAGAAATTTATAAACAGGAATAAATATTATCTGAATAATTTTCTGAATAATTAAATAATTACTCTAATGTAATTTAATTTTAAATTAATTTCCTCATTGAATTTCTAAATATAAAGATTTTCTAAAAATATGTACCATATGTTTGACTCTTATGTTATGTTCGAGTCTCTTAACTACTATATGAGCCTTCATTTAAGTAAAAACTGGACCTTTAAATAATTGAAAATTTTTTACCATCAAATTTTAACCTGCTTTATGTCCATATCCATAAATATCAATAAATTAATGAAGTTACATTGTGACCGAAAAGTTTCCGGTCATAAATAAATAAAACGCAAAATTCTTAATCTTCATCAATATTTATTTTATCTCCTTCAAAATATGCTCCATTAGAAGCGATACACAAATGCCAACGTTTCTTCCAATCATCAAAACTTATAGGCGCTTTCCGGTATGGCTTTGAGTTCCCTCTGCGAATTCTGTTTTACGTCTTCTATGGATTCAAAACGCGTTCCTCTGAGTGGTAATTTGAGGTTGGGAAACAGGAAAAAGTCACACGGTGCAAGATCAGGTGAATACGGTGGCTGTTCGATGGTATTTATTGAATGTTTGGCCTTAAAATCGTTGATAATGTTGAACAAATTGAGGTGAATCGGAACAAGCCGGGCGTTGACACGTCGCATACACAAATTGTCCACCAAAATCAAACGAGCCATCTCACGACCGATGCCTAGCTCTCGTGCTATCTCTCTAACACTCACATGAGGATTTTTGAACACGATTTCCTTTGCCTTTTCAATGTTTTCGTCGGTGGTAGAGGTCGAAGGTCGTCCAGAACGCGGCATGTCTTCGACGGTCGTACGACAGTCCTGAAAGGCTTTGTACCACTCATAAACTTGAGTTTTCGATAAAACTGATTCCCCATAAGCCTTTTGTAGCATTCGCAACGATTCTGCACACGAAATTTCGTTCGAAAAACAAAATTTGATGCAAACTCTTTGTTCAATATTTTTTTCCATTGTTTTTTTCGCAACGCACTACTGAGGTGAACTGGTTTCAACAGCTGCCGTAAACGAACTGTCCGACAGATCGCGCTCATTTTTGGCATAGTAATTAAGGACAGTGCTGCCAAACTACATAAACTTAAAATATCGAAAAATATACAGCGCGCGAATTTTAAATGAGAACCTCCGAAAACCTTTCGGTCACAATGTATATTATAGAGACACAGAACTATTGAGTTATAGCTTTATTATTTGAGAAAAATTGCCGCTACTTAATTCTTAATTAATAATAAGCAAATATAGCTGTTAATAGACAGAGCGAGTTTAGGGAATTTCTTCTCATTCTAATCCCACAGTACTTTTATCATTTATTAAATTTTTTATTCCCAAATTTAGTTTTGAATTTGGAGAAATCTTTTTTTTGTTGCCAAACGGTGCATTATTCTTCACTTCATTTCGTCAATTTCCGAGTCCCTTTTCAGAGCCCAGAAGGTACTTATTAAAAGGGAATCGCGCCCAGTATTGTAATACATTTTTGTAATCTTCTTCTACTATTATAAAAACTAAATAAAGTTATTTAGTTAATAATATTTCAATTTTTCGTGAAATTACTATCAGCAACTTGAGGAATATTCCTATCATGGCTTGTGGAAGAATATAACGCACCAAACAGTTCTCTGCAAAAATCCTTAGCACTGATTTGATATGCAGTGATGCTTGTGAAAAATATCTGGTTGAGTTTTACTATATAATTAAATATAAACTCTATTTCTTGAGAAGTTAAGCTTGTAAAATTTCCTTTATTTAGATTTAAGCAAAAACAGGGGATCGCACTAAAAATTGTCATGAAAGCTCCTACAGCGCTGCTTAAATAACTCAAGTGTATTTCATTTTGTTTTCATATTTACATCGTATTTAAACTCTGAGTTCACATTATTCGGCTCATACAAATCAAATATTTATATATGCTTTCCATTCAAAATATAAGTACTATTTATGATATAGTGCTATAGGCTTGAAACAGTCATAAGTGATGGCAAGTGATTACATGTATTGAGTGATGAAAAGTTCTTTCAGAAATTAAAAGGAGGGTCACTATTTATATTTTGAGCCTTGGCCACACTGATTGTTGTCAGGTATCATCTGACATTTCCACACGAAAGTTTGACGTTACTAAACATAACCTACCTTACAAGTTTTGTGAAAAGAGAGAAAAGATGGAATTAATACGAACGTGGATTATCAAGACAAGAGTGCATCGATCAACTTACTTTCACATTTGGCGATGAAGCTCCATCCTTTGTCACTGTGAAACGCAAGTACTTATACAATGATTTTAATCATGGCCGCAGTTCACTCACTGACGAAATTCGAATTCGTGAAGGTCGCCCAAAATCAGTTGTTAGTTGTTGTGCCAGAAAAAATTGGTGCTATGCAAAAACTGATAATGCAAAATTGTCCTGCCACGTATTGTGAGATTGAGGTTGAGGTGGTATATATAAAACATTACACAATCATTTTGCCATGAGAAAGATATGTTCTCATTGGATCCCTCATCATTTGACAAAATCTCAAAAAGATGCTCGTGTCGATTGGTGTACACAAATGCGCAAGAAGCACAATGGTGGTGATTCAAGAGACGTATACAAGTATAAGATTGTAGAAGGTGATGAATCATGGATATATGCGTATGAGCTGGAACGTAAACAGCAGTCGTCTATGTGACTGTATTAGTTTCCAGATGTACCAAGTCCAACACAAGTTGTTCACGCTCGGAGCAGTTCGAAATAAATGGTCGCCTGTTTTTTCCGAATAATGGTCATGTGGCAACTAATAGTATACCATTACAGGAACGTAATAGTATTCCGGAAATCTTCAGTGAATTACGGAAAACAAACAAGTGTCGTCGGATCATTTTCCATCTCAATCAAAGCAATGCGAGCGCACACATATCTCGTCTAATAACCGACTATTTGAACATTAAAAAAATTGAATTGATGGGTCATCTGGCATAGAGTTTTGATTTGGCACTAATGGTAAAATAATATGACTGAGAGCAGGAAAATCTGTTCAAATCAGGAAAAGTTATTGGTAGTAGTAAGAGACACACTTAGTTTTGCACAAATGACTGTTTCGAATATAAAAATAATTGTGTGGGGGCCGGATTTGAAACAACTATTTATTTTATTTATTTATTATAATTAATTACAAAATATAAAAATCTTATAACTAAGATCAGAAAAACGAGCGCTAGCTGCCAGGGCCTTCAGCTCGAACTTTTACCAATTTTGCTCTCAGTTCCAAAGGACTTACTATAAATCGTTATGAGTGTGGTTTCATGAGACCACAGTCATAAGTGTTAAAATTTTAAACTTTGTACATTTAATTTCTGAAAAAAAATTGTATTTTAGTTTTTCTACATATTTTTATGCTAATGATTCAAACTTATTGAATATTTTCTCGACTTCGCATTTAAAAATAAAAGCACAAAAAAAGGAATCGTGTCAGTTCTGCGCCAAGAAATATATTAAAATTCTTATATTTGCACATTTCAGTTAGTCGAAGGACATTCACGTTTACATTTATTACACTGCAAACTGATTTTTAGCCGCGTTATTACGTTTCACCCGGCTTATTTGTTCCTTTTAGTGGCGAACGTAGTTGGGTCTTTACTGGCTTTTCTACTTTTATGAACATTGAATGTCATTTTGTGTCATTCTAAACTGCAAGCACCCGCCGACCACAAATTCTTCTGCTTAAACTTGGACAATCCTGAGAAGCATAGTGAAGGACGTAAATATTAAAAAAGTAAATAAAATGAGAGAAACAAGAATGAAACTAAAGGACAAAACACGGAATGGAATGACAAATAAAAAAAAATTACATGATAACACAATTCGCTATTTAAAGTGAAATAGGAGCTATGGGGATATACGAGTAAAAAAAAAAGCCCAAAATAAAAGACATCACAAAATAAACATCAAAATAATACAATAGAGAAGATAACATTTAAAGTGGGTCACTAGAAGCCCCCAGCCTAAAAAGTCTAAAATGAAAACATTAAAAAAATGAAGGCACGACATTAAAAATTGTTTCGCCTTCGTCTGTCTGTCTGTCTGTCCGTCTGTCTATCAGTCTGCACACAGTTAACAAAATAATAAATATCCTTGGCTCCGCTGAAACCACATTCAAATCAACTGTCATGAGAGCACGTTAAGCTTGTCTAGGCTTCATTGCCTCGGTCGTAAAATACACAAAAGTATTCTGTGTGGTTGCCACATTTAAAAAAGTCTACATTACAATGTGACAAAAATATAAAAACAAAAAATGTATCTGAATGTTTCTGTTTCTTTGAGAAGGAGTGTGCCGTGATACTCACATGATGTTCACGAAAATTTCTCTATTCAAATAAAAAAATGTTCAAAGTGAGCATATACACGTGTATATATTCTACTTATTTATATATATGGTATACACATACAGACAATAGTAATGTCATACGATTTTTAGAGCATAGTTCTGCAAACAGACATTACGAGTGTAGAACCATAAAATTGGTAACTTATATGCCGTTTCAATTTAAAGAAAAATAGACAAAATCTAGGAATAGAGGAAAAGTCCCCTAGAATCGGTGCTGTAAATTCATTTAAAAAATGTGTTTTGAGCAGACGAAAAATAAAAATATGAAAAGTTTTTGCGAAGTTTGCTCAATGCCGGAAAGAGCAGCGCTTTGAGGCAATGCGGGTCTTCACCAACTTCTTTTCTGGCGTTCACTTTGAATTACTGTTACTGTTTGCATTTCCAACCGAACGGGGTAAGAGCAATTTATCAAATCGAGAAAAATTTGCTTGTACAAGTTAAGGAAAGTTGCCATACATTATTCCACTTATATTTTTTCAGCGCTCCTCGTTAACATTTGTAAAGCTGGGATACGCATGGAAACAACCGTGATCGTTGTTTAATCCAAAGTGCATGGCATTTTCCTTTGTTGACGCTTTTAACGCGCTTTCCATGAAGATTTATTAAACTTCTTTTTGACTTCCATAAAAGTTTTTTCTGCGTGAAAACTTTCTGAAGTTTCCTTGTAAGTAAAAGGAACTTAAATTTCAGTTTGTTTGGATTTATTGCATCCTCAAATGAAATAATCGAGCACTTAACCTACGTTGCTCTTTATTTTTCATGTTTATTTCTCGCAATTATTTTTCTTAAACGATTCTTGTGTATTTGGAAAATACCATTTTTATTAAACTTTTTCTTTAAATTACAAGAAAAGATTTCTATAGATTTTTATTGAAGAAGTTTTATTTATAAGCTTATTTTATTCATAAAAAGAAGTTTAAGTTTTTAAAATCCGACTTTAAGTAGTAGCAATTATATCCATAATTGAGAACGAATTGCAGTTGAGCAAAACTCAATGGTTTACCGAGTACCAAGCTCATTTTCCTTTTCTGGCATCCTTTATTCTAAATAATTTTTATTTCTATAATATCAGTTAAAATAAGATGTGAACTATGCATTAACTGAAATTTCAATAGACATTCACAATCTATTAATCTTCAATGATTTACCAACTTGTTTTTAATTCCTACTTATATTTATATCTGAACATTGAGTTAAACGGAATTGAATTTATTGAGTCACACAATTTCGGTCAAATGTCATCGAAGTGAGTATGTAAGTACACTTTTGTAATAAGTTTCAACCAAGTAATGCCAATAAGTTAACTATTGAATGCCCAAGATCAGATAAATTGACAAATTGTCAAACTAACGTACGTAGATCGATACGCTCTGGTTCGCTGCCTAAGAGCACTATGCTGGGTTCAATGATTCTGCAAAGTCCTGCAAATATTTCGGCAAACATAATAAATCATTTCTTATTATAATGTGAAAGAAACCCGTGAAACTGAATGTATAAAACTTTTGGGACAGTCTGGGTATAACTGACAGCGTTTAAATGTCACGCATTGCGAATAGCTAGTCAACAAAGAAAATAATAGAAGAGAAAAGAAGAAAAGAGAAGATAAGGGAAGAGAAGATCAGAATTTATTTTAAACAATCGGTAAAGAATTTATTTTAAACGATCGGTGAAGATCGTTTGAAATAACTTTAATCACCACGAATAACGAAAGCCACCACATATCGAATTTTGCCTGAAGATTTAAGTAAGATCTGTCGCATTTCATGTCATGTACACTGGCAAACGACCAACAAAGCAAGAGAGCTCAGCATTCTACAGAAGTATTAAAAATGTCCCGAAAAAATCTGTTATGACATGTCATAATAACTAGTAATGAAATGTGGATACTGAAGTAAAATATACATAGAAGTCAACAAAATAGCGAGAACGAAAGCATCCAAAATAACACTTGCAGACGTCTAAAATTCAGACAATGATAATCGCTTTTTATATTTAATAAAGTTATTTACTGTAATGTTAAGAGAACATTACAACGATTGTGGATCAGTATTCGATAGGTGCGACCAAAATATCGAGAACCAGGCAGTTGATTTTTGTTCCACGATTATGAACGGTCACACAAAGCTATAATATTGTACATCAAATATCGTCCAATCGACCATTCACAATGTTAGTCTCCTATGCGATTTCTAACTTTTTCCTAAATTAAAATTGATGATGCAAGGAAATTGTTTCGATATCATTCCTGTGATCGAAATGGACTCAACTGACATTCAATAGGCATTTTTGGTTAATAAATATAATCTAGGCCATGATATGAACGGTGCATTATAAATATGTACAATTATATATTTATTTGTATATGCACTATTAATTCTGTAATTATAATTAATTCTATCGTTGGGCTAGAAATAGGTGGTAAGGGTCCTTAAAATTCAGTAATATATTTATTAGCCCTCTACCTAAAAATGCTGTAGTATACATATATTTTCCTGAGATATAGACTTTCTATAAGTCTTCATTTTAATTATCATTGATCAATAGTTATTGCCTTAGATAGCATTTTACCAAAAATTATAATTCAATTTAATAGAAATCTATAAAATATGTTGGAATTATAAAATAGTAAAAGAAATTAGAAAGGTGTCAAAAAATTGTAATATATGCAAAAGTTTTCAAATGAAATATTCTCAATGTACTGGAATATTCCGATAGTTGCCTATCCCTATTAGCTTCAAAAATTTGCTTTATTTATTCTATCTGTACCTTTGTATATTAACATGTTGCTGAAACTTATATATATATATTACCTATAGCTTGTTTTCTTTAACTTAAAAGATGTATAATATGTGCTTGAATAATTAAAAAGGAATTAACTAACTAGTTTAATATATATCTAACTTAATAATAATAAACACAAAAATATATTTTTAAAAACCAGTATTTTTTTTTTTACTTACAGATGGACGCAATTACTTAAATAAACAAACTCATAATTTTTGTTAAAAATATTGAAAAGACTTAAGTTTTAAAAAGTAAATATGTGTCGGAATCAGAAAAAACATTATATAAAATTTGAACAATCAGGTACTCATAGCCTAACTATACGACTTAATCATTGAAATGTTAAAGTGTCGCTTGTCTCATAATTTAGTGAATTGCCGAAGTCAACATGACAGAACGCACGGTACATCACCAACGTCGACCACCTGACGTTGAAGAGGCGCTATCATCTATGCTGTGGACACCGTATGAGCGCACACCAACTGATAGCTCCTCCGAAGATGATGATGTTCGACTGAACTCAAAACTAAGTAAATCCCAAAGTAATTACGATTATCACAGCATGTCTGCGCTCGTGCCACTCTCAAATTCGTATTTTGATACGAACGATTTATTGTTGCAACCCGCAACATCTGCTACTGCCCCTGCACTGTCGCCAAGTACAGCTGCACTACGACCTACACCCTTTGTGCCTTTTTCCAGTTTAATTTTTGATAATCCTGCCATCGGTAATAGCTGTAATAATTCATTAACCAACACAATAACAACTTCAAATCATTTTCAAAAAAATAATTTATCAGCGAGCAATTATCGAATTTCTTATCCTTATTATGGCCCGATTCCCAGTTTAAACAAATTTTGGTCGTCTGCATCTACAATTAAGGAACCACCCTCATATGAGTCTTTGTACTCAAGGAGTACAACGCACACTGCTGATTCCTTGAAACCTGTTCTAAACAGTCTGAAATCTACAGTTACTACAGTGTCAGAAAGTCAAAGACAACAACTCGTATGTGATAAAGCGGAACGCTCACAAAGTGAAAGGGTAGCTCCCTCACGTTTAGTTCACTCATTTACGGATAATTTTATATCAGAGGTGAGTTCAGCTTTTTTTGTTTTGAATGATGAATACTAAATTATAATTAAATAAAAAAACGATTCCTAAATAAAAATTTTATTTAAATTTTGTTTTATTTTTACTTTGGCTATAATTAAATAATGATTAATATTGCTTAAATTTTTGTTTTATAGATCATTTCCATATTTTGTACAAACTTTTTATAAAGAATAATATACCTATTGACAGAGAAGTTTCGAACAGTAGTGAACTACAACAACAAAAATTCTTTTTATGTTATTTTAATTAATTAACCATACAGCTGTTTTTAATAATGGCAAATACCCATCATCAGTGGGTGTTAATCACAACAGACCAAATTGAACAAGTTAAAATTAAAAAAGCCCGTTTCTAATAATAGGGAACTAAAAAATGTTAATTATTAAATGAATGTATATATTATATTTATATTATTAGTTTTAGTTTTTATATTATATTAAAACTTCTGCTTATAAGCACTTTTGTGTATATAGAATAGGAATAGGAATGAACGGGATACCATCTCCCGACGGAGCAGAGCACTGCGACCAGATGGATCTTTTGTGCTGCAACAGACCCTGTGTATATAGAAAATCAAGTCCGGTTTTTTTTGTATATATCGATTGTATGTGTACTGAAGAATGTAATATAATTAAAAAGCGTAATTAATAATTTTAATAATTAAAGTTATTTAGATAAATATTAAAGATTATTTATTATATCTCTAATATGTTATAATATTGTGTATGTAAAGTATAGTTAAGAATAAATATAAAACCATCGAAACTACAAATAATATTATATGTTAATACTGTTTAGTTGAAAGTACTGAAGCGATCTATAGACATACTTATTTATTGCATATATAACAAGCCTTAAAGCACACGCCAGCAATGTTTTGGATGTGAGTATTTGAATTCTAATAGTTATTAGTTTAGTTTAGGTTTCAGATATTACAGAAAAATTATTAGAGGTGATTTTGGAATGTATAAATATGATGCATTAAAACTTTTTAATGTTTCTTTTCCATGATAATCGATATTTCATACACCTATTTTTGTCATTGGCTTATTTTGGAATGAGAATTACCGGACTAATTCCCATACCTCTTGCTAATATAATTCACGCTTGTTTTCCGACAATGGCTTGTGCCATTTTTACCAACATATTTATGTGTAATTCAGCCAGAAGTCAGAATGATCAGTTAAAGGGTTTAGCTTAGGACCATTAAAAGCAGCTATAACGGTAAATTATGCTAACACTTAGTATATATAACAAAATAGCTACATAAATGTAAAATTGAAATATTATTACTACTCATATCGGTTAGGAAATACTTCAGTTAGGAAACAACTGCTATTTGTTTTTTATAGAAATATTCAGAGAATGTTAAAGCCCTAGAATTGATTATTTGTTAGGAAACTTTTACAATTATGTTTGTTGAACGGAACATTTGCGGCGATTTCAAAAAATTCCATAATATATTTTATAATTCTATCTTTAATAATAAATGAACTAATTTTTTTTTTAAATAAAAAAATGCATTGTTCTTATAAAACAAAAGAAAAGTTTCGAACAAAATAAAGCTTTAAAACTTTCCACTCCAAAAAATCATAAATTTTTTGATACTGGACGTCAGTGTCTAAAAGTATAACAGTACAACAGTGATAACGTAGCTCAGTTAAGAACATAAAAATATTTAAAAATCAAAAAATAAAATAAAATATATTGTAGATTGCATTTATTGGTGCGAGTAAGTGAAGTGCAATTTATGTTTTATTTTTATCTTCAACAATTTAGTTAAGTGCACTCCATAAAAATACATTAGCCGCCACATCAGCGTAGTGTCATCCATGGGTCATGGAGGTCAGCAATTGTAGAACACATTTTTGTTATGTGTACAGTTACCCGATATGAGTATTATTGAAGGCGACAGCATATAAAACAATTAATAATTTAAATCCAACCATGAAAGTCTAGGCGTTTTCACTGAATGCCAACAAAACCGTAGCGGTGCACAGTAGCGGTTTGGAGACAGAACTTTGTTAATATACACACATAACTTTTTCCCAAATAAATACTTAGTGTGCTATTTTTGATTTCAATACATTTTTTCCAGACCCAATAAAAGTTGCAGAACCGGTAAATTTATTGGGTCTTAGTAATTTTTGCAATTTTTGGCACTTATATTATTTTTGGCAAGCTGATATACATAAAGAAAAATTTTTAATATTAATTGCGAATATCAATACTCTTAATGATATATTCTCTCCGACTAATGTTTGATTGCGAAAGATAATTATAATTAGCTGAAAATGCTGAAGAGTTCCTTAAAGAACGAAAAAGTCAGGTGAAAGATGACTTTGGTTCTTATGAAGTTGCAATACTCTATATATCCACGGTTAACTATACTATATTTTTATCACATTTTTTAGAGTTTGCATTAATTTTGACACACCGAATCCAATAAACATATATGTTTATCAGATAGTCACACTTTTGGTAGACCTTTCATATCATTCTATCTTTAAATGTTGAGTATACATCCTTTGTTTTTACTTTAAATCGAACTATATCATGGGAATACGTAATAATGTGGTACATAATTTGCATTTTTTAACTGATTGATTATCAGGGCGTAATCATTTATTCATGTTGTGTAAAATCGAGTGGAATATCTGTGCCAAGTGATTGATTTTAATAATAATAGAGTTTTTTTTTTAGGTTAGGTTAAGTTATACCTATTGATCCATTATGTTATTATATAATGGCGGTCCATACGGATCCACTAACGCCTATTCGCCCATTGTGATTCCTTTGGATCGCCATTATACGGTAACGGTTAGATCATTATACAGTTAGATCTATTAGCCCATTTTATTATCGTATAATGGCGACTAAAAAGAATCCACTTAGATCTATTAGCTCATTGTATTATCGGATAATAGAAAAACACAGAATTTAAAATCACCAGGAACCTTTGGCGAAGATTGAGTTTTTATTTAAAATATCATCCAAATATATTTCTTTAGGACTAGTAATCCTAAATTTTATCTGCAGTTTTTTAAGATTTTTAATTATCTTATTACTATTTTAATTATTTAGTACTGATTTATATTATCATGCTGATAATACTGATTTATATTAACATGCTTCCATATACGGTTTTAGTACCTGAAGGACTATATAAACGTATAAAATTAAAAATAAGAATTCTCCATCAGATGGCAAGATTAAATATAAAAATAGTACAAAATATTTACTCGTAGTTGTTTTTTCTTATAATATAAAAAATAAATTGGTTTTCAATAATTTCAATTAAGAGGAACTAATTAAATTAGTATAATTAATATACTGTTAAATACTTTTTTTGCAATTAAGTTATACCTCCCTATTAAAGTATAAACTTCAGTGTCACTGATGCGATAAGATTTAGTGCTTAATCGGTTGTTTATCTCATTAACCTACGGCTACATTACAGCAATTACTCAATTACGATTGCAGTAAAAAATATAATGGTTCAGAGACGATGCTTACTGAAGCACGACGACGAAACTAATCCGTCCATGTGCAGTGTGTGCATTCCATGCGCCCGCAATTATCGTTCTTTACACCCTGCAACTGTGAACCTAAATTTGATTTATAACTCGAAGTGAACATGAAATCTTAGAAAGCAGTTGAAAGCACCCATAAATTCAGAGATAGTTTGTTTCAAAATAAATACATTTTTGATTTTTTTAATTATTCTACAATTATTTCGTTCCATTAATGTTGTTTGTTTTTCTTTTTTTTTCTGTTCTAAATTGTTTGTTCTGTTATGTCTCCGTTGGCTCCGTTATTAAATTAAGCCAGTGAAGCATTGCAACTATTTTCAATGAGTGGTTGATGCAACTTAGTCACAGAGAGGTTCAAAGGTTAGTCGATACCATAATATGTACATGCTTTCCAGCTATTGAGGCACATGAATGAATGCAATGCATTAGATACAACACAATTTCAATAAAGGCACATGCTGGGGAATAATAACAGCTGGAAAGGGAATTGCATTATAATTAATGCAGGTAACATAGCGAAACACAGTCGCGTACTAGAACAGAATTATGGATTTCATGTTCATATGAATTTGTGTGCTTAGACGCAGAAATATAAACACTTGAGCACAGAAATGTAACGCAACATAAATGTCAAACAAACAATTGCAGTTCGATGGATGTTGTGTGAATTTCAGGTATTGTTCTCCAGAATGAACTCACATTCAATGCTATCCATGACACACAATTATCAGGCTGAGTTACATATACAAATTATGCAGCTTATGCAGTGCAGCACTGTTTGTAACATTAACGAAATTATGGATTGAAAGCGTTTAATTTTAGGTTTCGAATAATTTATTTGGTTTTTAGCTATTTTTAACCAGCACCAGTAAATAACTTTTGGTTTACCTTCGAAGGTAATCAAAAAATAGTATATGCCGTGTATGAAAATTTTCTAAGTAAGGCTCGTTAACAAAGAATTATGAAACGTTGAAGTTATTTTTTGATACTACTGAACTTATAGCTAGCTAGTAACTGAATAACTAATGATTAATTATTAAACCTTATGTCTCATAAGGTTTTATGTAAATTCGCTCTCAAAAACTTCATCAATTACAAAGTGAGAATCTTAACTTCACTCACGTATGTAGTCAGTGCTCGAATTAACTTCTATATAAATTATATTTATTCTAAACTAAAAGTGTTTGACTTTTAAGTTGGCAATACTGCTTATGGACTGTTAGAATAGTTAAATATTTTAAAAAAAATTCATATTTAGTAACTTTGTTATTACTCAATTTAATAACATTGATGTACGATAGTGTTTATTTCAATAAATCGGAGCAACATACCACATAGCATACGTCAGAGTCAGGTTTTTGCAAAATAAATGTGGTAATCACAAAATTTCACCTGAAAGTCCTGTTAATTAGCTTCTCTGAGCTTGCGGTCTATGTAAATGAACCATTGGCCCTGAACTAGCAATTATCCACAAAGCGATTGATGGTATTTAACCTAAACTGTTTGAAAATTGAAGTTCCTGATCGTGTTTACATAGACCCAACTGAAATAATATTTGAATATAAATGGCTGTAATTATACTACGTTAATACAGATGTTATTATGGACAATATTTGTATTGTTTCATTAAGCTTTATGAAGCAAGTCTTTTAAAAATCAGAATATATTGATTCCATTTGATTTAGGTGCTTGTTTACTAAAATAATGTTTCATTTCACTTTAGAAATCAAACTTCTTAAGTATACAGAATTTATGATAGAAATTTAACAGATTTAGATACTATTTTTGGTCACTGAAATTTTTCTAAAAATATATCTCCGTTTGTAATTGGTGCATCAATGAAGTAGAGAGAGGATTACGAAATAGTCCCCCTTTCCATCATTGACAATACAATATATAAGAAGGGGATTAGTGCACTGCAAAAAACGTGTGTTTTAGTAAAGGGCTGTTCAAAGCACGGTCCGTGTGCCACGTGCGGCCCGCGTATTATGTTTGTGTCACCCGCGACATGTTTTTAATCTACCACGACAATTACGCAAATTTTCTTTTTGTGTACTGATAAAACTGCATTATTTTATTTTTATGGTATACAAAATAATTAAATTTAATAGAATGAATTAATAAAACTAAATTCAATATTATAACCGTATTTATATTTTTGTCAAAAACAATTATGAATGCATGTATTTGCTTCTGCGGCCTTCCAATCTGTACAGTGATTTGTATTGGCCCGGGATTGTATCTGGCCTAGACAGCCTTGTTCTAGTACATCCCGCAGTACACAATCCATGAAGTTCGTTATATATTTGGCGGTATTTTAACTACAGATTATTTGTGTTCAAGTGAGCTTTGGTGTATAAGACTCCACAATCACAACCAAATCTAACCTTAGTTAAACTACATACGTTTTTTAATGAATTATATTTTATTTTAAATGTACATATTGTTAATATAATAATTTTAGAATATTTATAGTTTTAATATTAATTTAAATATTAATTATTAACAGTTATTTTAAAATGATATATATTACTTTACAATATGTATTAAACTGGTATATAATCTATTTTCTTAATTTCAGAACTCTGTTGCTCAAAGTCAATTCTCCGATCTGAGCTATACTTCCACAAATGTTGATATTCAGTCTAATAAATTTGCTGGTTTGGCGAACAGAAATGCAATCGCCACAGTTTTCTGTGATGTTACCAAAGAACAGTCTAACAACCTCTCTGAGAATCTAGCGGAAAATATGAATGAAACGAATATCAGATCACAACAAAACAAAGAAAACAATAACTGCATTATGAATGCAATTTACTGCAGCAACAATAACAATACAATCGGCAACAACAACAACAGCAACAGCAATAGCAATGACAAAAACAACCACCTAATTCAACATCAACAAAAACATTTTGCAAACAATCAACAAAATGAGGAAGCACGAGATACAATAAACCAGGTCAATCAACCTGTTTCCTCTACAGCTCCGCTCATCGCACGCACAAAGAGTTCGCACAAAGAGCGAAAAATACACTCAACAACGCAAACTACAAACTCGAGCTGCGCTCTTTTCACCAACGACAATGCGACAAGCTACAGCGACAACCGACTCTTGTGTTTTCCCAGCGTGGAGGTTCATGTCGACGGGCACAACTCAACAACGATCAGTTTGTCGAGTTCATTCAATGGGAGTGTGTGTTCCACGTCGTCTTGCTCGAGCAGAGAATCGTATTCGAACTGTGAAAACTCAAACGTGTTTGGTTACAGTGCGCCAATAGCCACAAACAGGTCTTTCGATTCGGGCATTGTGCTACATCCAAACAAATGTTTGGCTGAATTAGAACGCTTATACGCCGAGTTTCGCGCTAGTGAAAGTGTGATAGAACGAAAAATTAACGAATTGAGTTTAAGTGAAGAAAAAGACAAGATGCGCTTGAATATACCAGCAACGGTTGCTGTGGCTGAGGGCAAGCAGACAGCAACAACGAGTAGCGTCTTTCTGACAGACACCAATAGTGTCACAACAAACAATGGCAATTGCAATAGCAATAGCAATAGCTTGAGTGCCAACAACAACAACAACAACAACAACAACAACAACAGTTGCAGCAATGTGGCCATAACAACAACAAATCCATGCCAGCGACAATCTAGCCTAACAATACAAGTCAATAATAATCTCAGCAGTAATCACAAAACTGTGGAAAACTTGAGCGCAACATCTGTGCAGGATCGTAACTTCGATCATTTGATTAATCAATCCATTTTGAATAATAATGGGATTAGCGTTGTTAACTGCAATTATACACAAAATACAATTGCCAGTAATAACAACAGTAACAACAACAACAACAACAATAACAATAATAATAACAATTTCGAAAGTGTTGGCCATAGCGGTGTGAATGTCGGTATCGGTGTCGGAATCGGAATCGGTCGCGGGAATAGCGTTGCAATCATATCAAATCCAGCAACGAATGTGAATGTAAATAGTTGTAGCAATAGTGTTAGCAATGATGTTAGTAATAGTAATAGCAACAATTGCAGTTCAGTGCCTAGCAATGTGTTTTTGAGTAATGTGCAAAGTGGAAGTGATTATCTCAATAATAATAATAATAATAATAATAATAATAATAATGTTATTGTTAATAATAATATTAATAAAAATCAAAATAATATAAATAAAAATGCTACCGTAGCAAAAGATAGTGTTAATATTATAAATATCAATAATCCAGTTGAAGCACAAACAGCAGTTGCAGCAGCAATAGCTACTTCAGTTACTTCAAATGCTTCAACTACTCAATCGCCCACAATATCTACAAGGTTGCCATCAACACCATCTTCACCATCGCGTACTTTCACTTCGACAGAGTGTCAAACGGATGATATATCCTCAGTGCAATTACGTGCAACAGAACGTGCAACCACCCAGCCCACAACTACCAGTCGTGAGCAGCGTCGACGTGAACGTCGCGAACGACGCCATCAGCAGCAACAGTTGCAACAAACAAATGTTGCCATGCCAATTGTTCATCGTCGCCATAATGAACGGCATTCAATGCCGGCTCCGCCAGTACCACACCTGCACCCGCCGCATATGCATCATGCTGTACCACCAACAGCTACTATGCCAGCTGCAATGACAGCAATGTTGCGACCAATGTTGCCTGACATTTTGCATAGTCACTTTCCGCCACCTTATAGTGCATTACCATTGGGTGCAGGTGCTAGCGGAGGTCACAATAATGGACCAAATCAAACTCCGCTACCGCAATTGGTTGGTCCTCCACCACCACAACTAATTGCTGGACCACCAAATGCACCACCTGCTGGCACCACTATTTTGACACCCGTGATATCAACTGTTCCTATACCGGGCGCTACACCTATTGTGGGCGATGGACGATTTACGCTACCATTGCCGATCATTAGAAGGTAAGTAACAATTATGGAAGTAATATTTTTTTTAAATTGAAATTAGAAGGGTAAAGCAGTAGCAGAGAAGATTTTGGTGTATGTGTATCATTAATAATAATTTCACTGTTAGAAATTTGATGACTATGCATTTAAGAAGCTTCATTGGATAGTTTTAACCTTAAAATCCTTAACAAACAGAATAAAAGAAATTTGGAATTAAGGACACACTAGAACATTTTTTCTTTTATTGCGCATCTCTTCTAAAAGCCCGGTCGAAATTCTTTGTTACTTTTTGATTTGAGTGGATAAGGTTCATCGAAAGCTATGGGTATTCATTTAGTATTGTTATGGATTCATCAGTTTTATTTCATGCTTTTACAATGACATTATATATTTATTTCAATAATATCGGTTTATAAGTCAATTTTTTGAATAGGTTTTGCAAATTTAAATGTGAAGGCATAGTGAAGGCAGTGGTTTGCTTTGACTATGAGCGAGCTAATGGTAATCCATTGAATAGATTACAATTAGACAATATATGTCAAAGTCATGCATTGAATGGTTTTCATAAAATTGCAATTTTTTTTATATATTTTTCTTTAGAAATCAGTTTATTGGAATAGTTCTTTAAATTTGTATCAGATTTTAAAACTAGATTACCGTTTCATTCAGCTGCTGTAAAGAGTTAAGAATTAAAATTGAATCTTAAGGTTCTTCATAATTTTTTAAAGCACTTTGTACCCATATTCGAAGCATAAGATAATTTTAATGGATGCTTTTTAATTCCAATTAGTACAGATTATTATATATTCGGAGATCACATATTTTTGTATTTTGTAACACATTTTCATAGAGAATATCACTTATACTATTCATCTTTAGCGAAAACTGATCTCGTTGATAGATTAACATTTTGAATAAGCTATAGCTTAACTTACATGATTTTACAAAATTTCACTTTAAATTTATTTAAATATATATAATATGTTACAAACATTTCTAATCTGAATTATTTTGTTAATATATATTCAATAACACTGTTAATCAGAATTTCGCCGAATATAAAAATCAAAGTTATACAATATTTTCTAAGTATTACCAACTTTTGTTCTCAAATTCAAAGTCATAAAGATTAACATAATCGAGATTAATAGGTTAAGAGTTTACCAGGCAACGAGCATAGAATAAAATGAGTAACAGATTGGGTTGATAGTCCATTAGTCTGGGGTAGGGAAAACTGCGTAAATAGATCAGAAGCCTTACTTATAATGCTTTTTATGTACTTATCATATAAATAATATATTATATATAAAATAATTAAATAGTATTAAGTGAAAACTACAAGACAATAGACCCTGTTTTTTAATTTTTTATCCTTAGATTAGAGATTATATTTTTAAAATGTTGTTATGTTGTTTTTTTAATTTCCTCACGGTTTGCAATGCTAGTTTTTCACTACACCAATTTGATTAAAAGTATATCAAGAAATAACATCACAGGTTGAACATTTTTTAATTACAGCATCCGCTTTCAAAAGTCAACCTTAAATGATTTATAAGCACTTTCTAGGAAAGCAAAAAAAAAAGGCCTACGGTAGAGTCGACTCTGTGAACTGAATTAAATTAGCTAAAAGAAGTTCACCTTTAACTAAACCGAGAAAAAATTATGTATCTAACAACACTTCTTTTTCTAAATTACAAACGCACATGCCTTCATATGTCGTTTATGTTTAATGACATTAGTTAGTGTATCTGTTATTCGCATTTGTATCTCATATAGTTTCACGTGTATCTGAAAGCCACACAAGTCAACGTCGTCGTAAGAGCTAATGTCTTATGAACCTGAGTTTTATGCACAATTTCTTTTGTGTTACCTTTTTGTCATGTCAAAAGACTTTGACAATCACTTTTATGCTTACAGATACTCACTACTGTAGTTGTTGTTCAATGTAAAAGATTGTCTTTACACGGCAAAAAATTTCTTCATCATTCAATACTCACAGTGCCGTACAATTAGCGTAATTTAAAGTTTCACAAAAAATTCATTAGCAAATATTAAAAAGCATTAAACAAATTAACTGCAATTAAGAAGAAAGGAAAAGGAAAACATTACTCGTAAAACGAAATGTGAATTTAAAAAGTTCAGATATAATTTATTGGATTTTTTCTCTGTGTACTCGGTATACTCGGTTGCCATAAATCTTCCTGTATGTTTTACTAACATCTATTGGGCAAAAAGCACTACAATAATCGTAATTTTATGTTAGATACTCGTACAAATTTCTCGCATGATTTGCTAGTCGTTTTTTCTTTGCTGAGATTAATATTAAGAAAAAAGATAAAAAACAAATTTATTGGCATATGGCACTTACGGGAAAGAACAATGCCGAATATGAGAAACTAAAGCTGCAAAGAAAACTGAATAAATATTTAATTTACAAGATTTCTAAGAAAACAAAACCATTAAAAGGAATATCCACAGATACTATTGTGAAGTAAAGCTTAATCAAGTGTATTACACTCTGATTTTTATATGATGTTTTCGTTAATTTTTTTGTTTTTTTTTGTATTCATGGGTTCATAAGTAATTATTTTTATTACATTAATAACAATATACATATACATATATATATATATATATATCATTATGATTCCGAACCACTTACCTAATCGCATATAAATTGTTAGCAATAATTTGAATCCGAAACCTTTTTATGAGTAAAAATTGTAGATGATGGGAAAATTATAATAAATAGTTCTTATTTATTATTAAATGTTTATTTTATTGATCCTTAAATAGGGAAAACTCTTTTCAGTGGATATGAGATATTGTGAATTGCCGTTTAATAGAGCGTAATTTGTATGTAAAAAGAAAACTGAGGTCTAACAGCGTCACATGATTAAGTGAGATGTTAGTTTATAAGTGTCCATTTATGAAACTGCCCGCTTATGAGAGTATCTGATTATCTGCAGCCTCGTTTATGAGACTGTCACTTATGAAGGACTATTACTTTTTGTGAAAAGTGTGAGATTGATAGGTACAGGTTGTTACTAATAAAACTTATATCAAACACAACGCTGACAAAAGCAGTGAAAGAAAAATATAATATACCTTTGTGATAATGCCATAAGTATTTTGCTATATTGCTTTAGCTTAATTTAAATAAATTATATAATTCAATAATATTAATTAATTTAAATATGTTATCTTGCCGCAAGCACTATTCATCTCGAGACAATATGATTAATTGTTTTGCTGTTAGTTGCACGCCTTCTACATCCATCTTTAATTGGTATCCTACCTATTGATAGACAAAAAAATTAGATTTGATAATAAAATTTTTTTCGGAGTAAAACTAAACTTCTTTTCACCACAAGTTTGATGTCACTCGATATAGATACAGTTAAAGTTTATGCGATCGTGTTATATAAATCGGTTTTAAGGCGTGTCTTTTAAGATGAATGAGTTAAATTAGCATTACCAAAACAATTTATTTCAAATAAATGAACGAATTTTTGAAAAATTAATTATTGCATTTCAGTTAATTTTATTTTACTTTATTTCGTTAGTTTTATTTCTTGTGTTGTCATGTAATTTATATTCACTTTATTTTCTTTTAATTTTTTATTATGGTTCACAACAATCTATATGATTTATTGTGATATCTCTTAACTTAAAGCGGACATAATTTAAGTTTCTGATACCCTTTGATTCCTTTGTAGGTACTACCATATGAAAGTCAGAGGTAGATGCTGTAGTCATTCTACAACAATTGCTTAACAATGATCGCAAAACGGTTTTATCTTACTTTGCATAAATTTCTTTTTTGCAATTTATAAATTATTTATTAAATCTTTCGTTAAGAAATTAACAATAAGTGATCAAATCTTAAAAATTAAATTTAATTTTTGTAAAATGTGTAGATAACATTATCTTCCAATATCTTCCAATATTTTTAATAAGGTTGTAATCGGCACAACTGTGTTTAAGTTAAGAATCTTGCATGACCAATAATGATTGCTTTAGGCTGTCATCATTGTCATAAGACTTTGGTGGAAATATATATTCATTGTATCTAATTATTTGACTTGTTCGATAGTGAATATTTTGTTTAAAAGTTTTGATAATATTTTTTGTTAAAGGCTATATATACTATAAATATAAAACAGAATCATATTTCGTTAAGGACTTTATTTCAAAACTTTTAATAAATAGTCAAAATATTTAAAATATTTAAAAAAAAAAAAACAGTTAAAACCTTTTTAAATCTGAGTTGAGTAGTACTTTATTATTTAGTGTATATATATCAACTATATATTATATTAAGAAATATATATTATATATATATATTAAGAAATAATTTTTAAAAAATTTTTATTTTGTTTTTTCGATAGAAAATATTAGAGTAGTTTGGTAAAATTAGGCGGTTCCAAAGTACATTAGGTTCCACAATTTTTTCAATTCACAGTTTGTATTCTCATATAATTATCCAGTAAATATTTGATTGTATGTAAATTGCACAAAGCTATGTGTATTAAAGATATTATAATTTTTCACAACCGAACTTTCCTATCGTATATTAAACAAAACTAAAATATGCATTTGTACAAATAATTTTGTTTTGAGTTGCATTGATTATACACTCACGTTCCATAACGTACTTATATCTTAAATTATAGGTTAATTAAATCGCTACATACACTTAATTTATTCAGCCTCATGTATAGCCGAACGTGTCTTACTACATATGCATGAGTAGTTTAAATGTTAATATATGTATAAATTACTAGAGACTGTAGATACCTGCAATGTAACCCAAACTTACATGCCAGATAATTAGGTTAACTTGTGTAAATTGCACTATTTTACAGAAGGTTTTCGCTTTGTATCAAAATTAACGAATGAGCCGTAAAACGTTTTGCGTTACTTTGCGTTACTTTCGCTGATTAAGTTTGTATCTTCCGAAAGTATTTCACACTGAGTCCGAAATATTTGCCTATTTGCCTGAACACGTTCAGAAATGATATAATTTTTGTAATTACTTAATGTGAGTTGTTGATGTTTACACAATTAAAAGTAA